TTCTTTTATAATGTTCTATGATAATAATATTTTCTATTATAGTTATATGATAAACTACGACAAAAGGCCGACGACAGATCTACTATAAAAACTATGGAAGTAAAGTAGGCTATCGTTACAATTGCTCCACAATGTTTATAAGAAAAGATTCTAACCCAAGAAACTTCAAAGCGTCATCACAATAAGTTCCAACAGAACAATTTGATATGTGAACATATTGATGACAACAAATAAAAAAATTGATCAAGAATCATCTTTGAAAAGGGCGTTCCAAAACTTTCTAATAAAATGATACAACTTCGGGCATCGAATCACGTACTATTGCGGGTGCCATAAATAACAACGTTTATGTTTTGATATCAGTAAATAGCATATTAAATATATAGTTTTTATGTATAAAAAAGGTTGTATACGTGTAAAATTTAACCGTCAGTTTTATTTTAGGAGTTTCAAAGACTTGATTGTGACTATAGGCCGTGGGCGTTATTTTTTGTTGTTGTGTAGGCGATCGACCCGTTCGCAGCGTTTAGTGGGTTGTACTTGAGCTAGTTGATGGTAAGTGGTAGCTACTGGAAGATAGTGGGACATGTTGGGGATGGCATTCAATGCATTCAAGGTAATTTGCAAGAGTGTAACGGGAGAAAAATGGATCTCATTCCTTTTCGCGACCAACGGTTCTATAACAAACTCGATTGTATCGAAATTTCTAATAATAACAAAATTTCTTATACCAAAACCTTTACATAAACAAAACCTATTAAATAACGGTGAAAAGAAACAAAAACTGTCCTATAATATCTTTTTACTCATACACAAAAAGCTACATGTACTTTCTCTATCTTGTCCACTGCGTCAAAACGAGACAGAGCAATTGTGTAATCCCAATTCGACTAGCGGATTCGATGACATCGAATGAATGGGCTGATAACGTCAGTACAACCGGCCCTTTTGTGTCCAACCTTCTATTTGGCTATTTGTACAGAAACTTTTATAACATTCACTATATAAGAGAATTGTTTCGGTTTGAAAAAATGTATTGGAATACGATATTGGATTGTGGACTGACGCGGAACGACAGTTTTGACTGATTTAGTTTGATGAATGCGTTACTTGTGTTGTACGAGGGAAATTGTTGTTGATGTTTGGTGCACCAAAATAATATTGGAATAGAGAATACCTCATTAACATTGGGCATCTTTTCTACAGCAAATAAGATAGTGTTTTGAGGCTTCAGAACATACGTAACAGTACACACAGTAAAGACAAATAAAGGTATTTTATTTCAGTTTCTATTTTGAAGTGAATTATACCATTTGGAGCAGTTTTTTAAGGAGTAAGAATTAGTAACTTACAATTATCACTTCACTGATTTTTCAGGACCAAGAGTTCGTTTGATGATAAAAAATACAACCACTAGAAACGAAAAAAATGCCCTTTGGAAACGATACTGCAGTCCAAACACGAGGACAGACTAGCCGACTTTTACGATGAATTCCGAATGTGAATACAATCGTGTTGTCCGTCCATCGACAGTACAATAAAATGTAATAAACAATGCTTTTTATAAACCATAATGAAAGCTCTTCATCGACGACTTTTTGTTCAACAACGGCGATTAGCGGTAATCAGCGACAATGTTGAGTTTATGAGTTTTCTTATCTTCTATCTGTTTATTAGTTATTCGGAGTATTTTTGTGGAATTATTGCTCTTTGTATCATTTTGATATAATTATTGTGGATGAGTGTCTGATAACTGTTTTGTTCATTAAAGTATTTTATGGGATAGGAGAATCGAGCAGGCGGATCACCTAATAGTATTTAAGCAATCGGCGCCACTCATTGCGTTACTGGACTATTGGGGGTTATTGATTTGGGCATTGGGGAGGGAAAAAACACAACGCCACCATGCTTTTATGCCGGTTTTCTGGTAGGTCTGCCCATATTTGGCAAAACATGGCTCTCTAACACTTATTTAGTAACACGATCGTCAAGTAATTACCTAATGGATTATTGTATTCGATCAAATGTCAGAGAATTTCCCAGTATTAGTTATAGAATCTAAATTAGATGCCGTCTATTCCCTGGAACGGTACCTGACAAGGAATTTTACGTTAAATCATCCATTATTTTCAAACATCGTGCTATACCGCGAATTTTGAATACAATAAAAAATATAACAATAAGAAATAGCAATTGTTGACAAACCAAGATAAGGCCCACCTAGTGCTTTAACATTCACTACAAACAAAAACAGATTCTGCTTCAAACCTGCAGGAAAATGGCAAATACTCGGCATCGGTCGAGAACCTGGAACACTCGGTCAACGAGGCAGTCTCACATAGAATTATTTTCTAAGAAAATAAGAAAGAGCGTGATAAAGACTTACCAGCTCTAAGGGCATCCATGGGCACGCTAGGATAGGGTATGGAGTAAGGATACCCCTCCTTCCTCAGGGTCTTGGGCTTCCTTCGCGGTCGGTACTTGTAGTCAGGGTGCTCCTTCATGTGCATAGCTCTGATGCGCTTCGCTTCATCTATGAAGGGCCGCTTCTCGTCTTCTGAGAGAAGCTTCCATTCAGCTCCTGTAGAAAATAATAGGATTAGAATTGGATATTGATAATATTAGTTAGGTCATTAGTCATGTAGGTTTTCTTACGCATGTTTTTTTATTTTTGCCATAAATTAAATCTTATTTACTTAATTTTCTTAACTTAATTGGAATTAAAGTTTAGATTTTGCAAGCTGAATCCTATTTTAGAATACATAAGTACTAATAATTTAAATTGTTAGGTATGCTATTCTGAAATCCATAATTTTCCGAAAGTGCTGGAAAAAAAAAAAGATGGACTGGTAGATAAGTAAGTAGGTACATAAATTTTTGGGGATCTCGATTTCCACATTCGACAATTCTTAACTAAAAGTAAATAAATAAAGCTACCAGCTATTTAACAAGTTTATTTCAGTTATAAAAAACCATTCACACTACGCTAACCAAAAATTTCACACCCACTTATAAAAAAACTTAAAAATATGATATTTCATAATATTTCGCACTTGGATGCACTAACAGGTTTCATACAACTGAAACTTCAGGCTTTTATTGCACAATTCATAATAGACCGTGTAAAATAGCTATTAGCGTCGTTTTTCAAATGTATTTTGACCATAATAGTCGTTTGTACGAATTTAAACAGTCTGACCATTTATGTTCTAAGTTCTGTAGTTTACTAGACTTATTCACAAATCTATGTATTTTTTATTATTTAATGTTTTGTTTTCGTAAGTGGGCCTTAGATAAAAACGCATAGAAAGTTGTTGTTCAATTCTTCTCAAATATATCCAATGAGTTATACCTACTTATTAAAACCAATGCTACAAAGCCAAAGACTGCCTCGTTGGCCGGGCAAGGGGTCTCGGGTTCGATCCTGGGTCGGAGTAA